CCAGCTTCTCTCTTGCTTTGACTGCTGCTGTCTGGGGTCTCCCGATCAGGCAGCCATAATCCTGATGCTCACAGGCACGGCTGTGGTTCTGAGGCCCATTTTTCATCTGAGGAAAATAATCCTAACGAGACAGAGCAACTTGAGCCCTGGTGGTCTCCCAGCAGGGCCCGCGTGCGTACCCACGGAAGGGCAAGTGCCCCCCAGCAGAAGGCTAAATGCTTGGTGTGCTGGGTCAGGGCTCGCTGTGGAGTGGCTGGGCTCAGCTACACGGGCACCGGGAGCCTGAGGGTTTTGGCAGTGGCCTGGCCTGCGGGCTGGGGGAGCTGCTCTGTGTTCTCACCACATTCGAGGCTGGCCCAGGGCCCTCCAGCATTCTGGCAGGGGATCCAGACCGCGGTTATTAAATTCCTGATATTCTGATCTGCCCTCAAGGAACCAGTAGACCAAGCAGAGGCAATTGCTGCAGGCTTTTGCAAGAGGGAAGTCATTCCGGCACCATGTGAGACAGGATGGGGTGGCTAGGATCTGAGAGCAGCAAAGATGGTTTTGGTTAGCTTCTGCTGAAGTGGGCCTCAAAAGCGATTCCCCAGAACCCCACTTTCAGTTGTTAGGTGTCCCGTGTGGAAGCATCAGTGATCCCAGAAGCTGGAGAAATTGGGCTCCTACAGGCCTTCTCAGGGCTTTTAGTGTGCACTGGAACGTGGTGGGCGGGAATGAGACACACAACATTCTGTAACTGTCCAAGCACTTTTTCTGGAGAAACATCTTAAAGGAGGGTTTTTCCCTTTAAAAAATTCTATCACTAGGGGATGCCTGGGTGGCTCAGGCATTAGGTGATTGCCTTCGGCTCAGGTCCTGATCCCAGAGTCCTGGGATCGAGTCTCACATCGGGCTCCTTGCTTAGCGGGAGGCCTGCTTCTCCCTCTGCCTGCTGTTCCCCTGCTTGTGCTCTCTCTCTCTCTCTCTGACAAATAAATAAATAAATAATAAAATCCTGAAAAAAAAATACTATCACTAACTACCATTTATGGACAATTAACTTCACATCAGACGCCGTGCTATGATTGGTACATGCATCACCTCATGAATTTTCAGAAAAATCTATGAAGTGGGCACCGGTATTGTCAGAAGACAGGCCTGGAGGCTACCATGCCAAAGTATGTGGTAAAGCAGTCATCCAAACCCTCCTGCCCCATTCCAGAATCCACGATACCGGGAATCCCAGAGAGGAGAGATTTTGCCACACCCCGCATAGTTGGCAGGAGGCCGTGCTGGATCTGGACCTAGGTTTCTTCACTCTTGTTCCAATCAGATTTTTGTAGGTTCACGAACATATGTCAGATGGGGAGTGATCTCCGTCTCCCTACCCTGCCCTTCCCTCCCACACACCTAGAGCTGTGGCCAAGAGACCAGATGGAGATGAAGTAGAGATTCTGGACCAGCTTCTTGCCCCATCACCCACGTTGTCTCTGTGGATCTGACCCATGACACAGGGACACGTCCCTGAACCAGACTAATCAGGTATGGCCCATGCTGTCCACCACAGGCTCCACTCACAGATGCTGCCCTCCACCCCCCGTGGGCTCCTGAGCAAGTTCCTTTCCCTGGGGCTGTGTTCCTACTGATGTCACCTGCTCTCATCCATCTACTTACTAAACATGTCTTGAATGTCTACTTTGGGCCATGTCAGGCACTGTTTAAGGATAGGAGAGGTTCTTTATGTATATACACACGTGTGTATATGCGTTGTACATACATACGTGTGTTACGCAGAAAACTTCCTGCTGGTGATTGTGCTAAAGAGGAAAATAAAGCATGTTGCAGAGATAGCGATGGTGCTGAGGTTTAAGGGGAGATCTCTCAGGTGTGTGAGCGGAGACCTAGATGAAGCAAGTAGTCATGCGCTTGGGGCAGACGGAACAGCGAGAGCAAAGGCCCCGAGATGGGAATGTCCCGTGGGTGCTTCAGGGACAGCAATAGGCATGCCTGGGGGGCTCAGTTGGAAGCGTCTGACTCTGGATTTTGGCTCAGGTCATGCATGATCTTGGGGTCGTGGGATCGAGCTGTGTTGGGCTCCCGCCCGCGGGGAGTCTCCTTGAGATTCTCTCCCTCTCCCTCTGCCCCTCCCTTCCTCCCTCTCTCAAAAAAAAAAACGAACGAACGAATGAATGAATGAATGAATGAATAAAGGACCACAGTAAGGCCCAGTGCACCAGTGGGTAGACCTGGGGGCGCTGGCAAGCAACCGGGTCTGGGGAGTAAGTGCCCGGAGAGGGGTAAGGTAGAGAAGCAATTTCTGCATACAGGCCAAGGGGAGGGTCTGGGAAGTGGTCTACGTGCAATGGAGATCTCCAGAGGGTCTCGCACCTTGGCCTGCGCTGCGGTGAGGAGACTGGATTGAAGGCTAGGTCGCAAATGCCACCCACCCTCCTTGGGCTCCTCAGGGTGGGACGTGGTGAGGCAAACACTTCCCAGAAACCAGGGAGGCGCTGCGACGCTCTGAGTGGAGGCCAGTGAAGACGAGGGGGTGCTGTGTCTGCTGCGGGATGTTTGTCCAGGCGCCGCAGGCTCAGGGGCCCCAGCAGGGTGGGAGAAGGCCCAGGGCCCAGGTCAGGCACCGGATGGACGAGCGTGGCCTCAGGTCTCTGGCCTCCCCCTCAGGTCTCCAACTCCTCACTCCGTGGCCCCTGGAGCTTCCCTCCTGCACCGCCCAGCCTGCCACTCTGCCCTACCTGTCCTCTCATAGTCCTCCATCCCCTAAAACTGGAGTTCCTCGCCGGCAGAGCCAGGGGTCCTGTGGGAGCTGGTCAGAAGGGGAAGGTCAGCAAGGGCCCAGATGTCTACCTTCTTCCACCTGAGTGGGCTCTGGCCAGCTCCGGACACCTAGATCCCTCCCTCCCAGGGCCAGGGTGACACACTTCTCTGCTCAGCGTGGTGTGGCCCTCGGTAGACCCCACATTGCAGTGACCTGTTCCTCATCACCCACACTGAACCCAACACACTGGGAGCTCCCAGAGCCTCATTTCTGAGCCACGCCCTAGTTAGCCCGGGTGCCTAGGACACAGGGACAAGTAAATGCCCTGAGGAGTGCCCACCATGTCGTCTGCACGACACACCTTCAGTCGGGCCAACCACCCTATGAAGTGGGCATTTCCTATTTTACAGATGAGGAGATGAAGTCAGAGAGGTGATCTGCCTCAAGGTCAAGGGAACAAGTAGGTAGCAGAGTCAGTCTGCGTCCTTAGGACTCTGCGAGGTACCGGCTCCTGGCTGCGCCCGTGACTGCGTCTGGGTCTCAAGTACCTATTTGCTATTCTCCCCTCATCGGCCATTAGTAAGTAGTGCAATGGTGTCCACATCTATAAGCCCCCCAACCCCCACCCCCGGATGACAATAAAAAAAGACAGTATCAAGTGTCCTCAAGGATGCAGAGGAAGGAGAACCCTCGCAGCTCGTGGGTGGGAAAGTAAAATGGTGCAGCATCTTTGGAAACAATCTGGGGGTTCCTCAACTACGTAGTTACCGCAGGACCCCACAATTCTGCGAGATCTGTGCCCAGGGAGTCAGAAACCAAGGTCTGTGCATAAACCACAGCCGTGTTCCTTCTAAGGAACACACAGAAACCGTGTCCACGGACCGTGAATGGATACAGGGAATGTGGTGTTTCCACACAATGGATTACGATTCAACAACCTGCAGGGACAGAGAGCAGACACATGCGAGGACATGGATGGGGCCTGAAAACACCGTGCTGACAGGAGCCGGACACCAAAGGGCACAGAGTGATTCCATGCACATGGAATGTCCAGAATAGGCAGATCCATCGACAAAAGGTAGATTAGCCATGGCCTTGGGCTGCGAGTGCGCGTTGGGGAGGGGATAAGTGATTGCTAACAGGTGTGATTTCTTTTCAGAGGTGGTAAGAATGTTCTGGAACTGGATGGTGCAGCGGCTGCACAGCTCTGAACGTATGAAAAACCACTGACTCGCACACTCCAAAAGGGTGAATGATCTCTGCCAAGTTATTAAAGTGAACTTGTGGGTCGTCCTTCCCCAAGCCCCAGGCTAAGCCCATCAGGATCCTTTTCTGCAAGGAGCTTCGACCCCAGACACCAAAGCCCGGGACTGGAATGCGGCGCGCTGTCAGATCAGGCCGGAAGGCGGACTTATCTGTTCCTCCGGCACACATTCCAGAGGCCTCACTCGGCCTCCAGCAGCTTTAGGATTCCTGGGTCTGCAAGGTCTGATTCCCGAGGAGCCTGAGTGGTGGGTCCCAGTAAAATGCTGCCCTACCAGAGCAAGCAGCTTTCCCGAGGCTGCACAGGGCCGGGAGTCTGTGCCAGCAGACTCCGGGAACATCCCAAACCTGGCCCTCCGGGGAAATGGAACTATAGGAGCACTTGTTGAAAGCCTACTAAGTGCTGGGCTCAACACAAGCTTCCTATTTAGCCTCAACTGCTCTGGAGTGAGCTACTGCTGCTACTATTTTGCTGGAGGAAAGTGACACGCCATGAGACAAAGTCCCCAGTCCCCGGCGGTAAGTGGCAGAAGTTCCCGTTCTTCCTGGTGCTCTCTGGACAGGGTTGTTACCCCTTCAGCTCACAGAGCCGTTCTGTCCTGCTCCTCTCAGAGCTCCCCCCACCCCCACCCGCCCCGACCTTTGCAAGAAGGTCCCTGTCCCCTTCCCTTGCCAGTGTGGTTCAGAGACCCCTCTTATCTGTTAGAACTTCTCAGGGAAAAACTTGCAGAAACAAAGCAGTGCTGGGCCTGGAAGGGCCTCTGAGTGGCCTCCTGCAGTCCTGGAACCTGTGATGGGCCACCCAGGCTCGGTGTGGACTCCCGTGCCCCATGGGCAGGTTTCTCCAGAGGGCCTACTCCTGGGGTGGGGTGGGAAGGTCCTTCTTTCTGGGCCGCTCACCCACCAGGCCCTGGGAGTCGCGGCCTCACCCTGCCCCAAATAGGGGCCAACAAAACCACGAAGCACTCGTTTTCAAATCACGTATGGCTTCTCTGACCCCATCAAATAACTTTATTCACACAAACGTCCCATAATTTACAAAGCCTCAGTCATTCATACACATTAGGGGGATCCACAGTGTTCAAGGAACTTAAATATAATGTATCATACCAACCCAAGTAAACCAAGTACAAAAAATATTCATATAAAGTTGTTCACACGTAGGTCCTAGATTACCAGCTTCTGTGCAAAAAAAGAAAATAAAGAAAAATAGATTTATTAACTAGTATTTGAAGCTAACTTTGTGCCTGGGTTACCCTGTGCCTCCCTCAAACCCAAGTTGGCCCCCCATGCCTGTTCAGTTGGGGCCCCATACTCCCCTGCTCTAATGAAAGACGCCCCCAGGGGCACAGAAGAGTTCTTCAAAATGTTCCTGAACAAACTCCCTCCTGGGAGATGTGGGGCCTCCAGGCAACCAACGGGAGTGGATTCTCCTCTCGATGGTGGCTGGGGGAGCTTACATTATTTGCCAACGGTCCTGTCCCACCTCCTCGCTTCCCCTCTGAGGGCATCTCTCCAGACGGGAGTCCCTGTGCTCCAAGCCCAGCAGGCAGGATCAGAGACGGGTCTGGTGTCCCAGAGGCTGTACCTCCGCCCAGTGTGGGAGGACAGCCAAGGTGCCTTCTCCAGGCCTCAGCCTCAGGAGATCAGGCTGACAGTTCCCAGGTGACTCCAGGAGCACTGTGATCTGGGGGCCACCACGCAGGCCGAGGGAGAGGAAGGGAGTCAGGGGGAAGCAATGCCCCAGAAGCCACCAGTGCCCCCAGATGGGTGAGTATGGGGGGGGGGGCACAAGGAGGATCGGAGGTGGCAGGTGCCCATGGTGGGCAGGGCCAAGAGCCCAGGCAGCATGGAGCAAGGGGAGGGCAGAGAGTTAGGGGGGACCCCTTCTTAGGGGATGGAGGCCCAACTCCTCTGTTACAAGTTTCCAAAAGATACTCTGAGGCTGAAACCCAAACATCCATCCTGTTAAGATCTGTCTTCTAAAAGGTAAACTGCAAAGGCAAAGAAAGAACGTTCCTCCAATGCCAGCTCTTTACTTTTGCTCAGAAAAAAAGACTCAAGCAAAAATTATCTTATTGCTCCAAACACTGGTTTTCTAGGAGACAGCGGATATGTCAAGGAGCAGAGAACCTTGGAGGGAGGGAATGGTAGAGGCGGGGAATGTCCAGGGGAAGGAAGGCTGCGAGGAAGGTGGTGGGGAGTGGTCTTAGCACCGCAGGGTCAGGGGGCAGAGGGGGTGCGGGGCAAGTGCCCCTGCAGGCTCCACCTTCATTTGCTCTGGGACCTCTACTGGCAGTGCCAGAGAGGAGGCCAGGCCCCATCAGGAGCCTGACATCCGCCAGTGTTGGGCAAGTTTCTCCTCCAGCTGTAAACAGGGCATTTCTCAAGTAAACATTAAATACACGCCCTCAGAAAGGCAGCCATCGGGGGCAAAGGCCTGCGCCCTTCGTCCCTGGTGCCCAGAAAGGAGTCAGATGGAGCCAGCCTTGAATGGAAAAACGGCGGCATCCTCCTGGCTATAGAGGTAAGAGGCAGGGGGCCTGCTGGGTAGTGAGAGGCAGAGAGCGGCCAGCTGGTGGAAACGCGGTTGTTCTGTCCTCTGCTAAAGCTGCTCTTAGTGTCTCGGTGGTGGCAGGAGCCCTGGGCCTGGCTGCAGCCCTCGGGGAAGGATGGGGCAGGGGGGACGATTCCCTCGAGGCTCTCTGTGGGTGGGAGTGAGAGGTTAAGTGACAGACGGACATAGACAGGGAGGAGGATGCCATGGACTTCTAGCTGAGCTAGCAGGTCAGGTCAAAGGAGGGCAGTGGAATAAGGCACTAGGATCTGTCTTGCTGAGTCCTCTTGCTGGGGGGAGGCTGAGCTCCAGACCCACCAGTCTCCGGCCCAGAACCTCCCCGCTATGGGCTAACCGTTTCACAGATCCAAGGAGATGAGAATGACTGCTATTTCAAGGTGTGGAGACTCCTAGAACTTGCACAGGCCTTACGAACGTGGTGGCACTGGGCCCTGGGTGCAGAGGATGAAGAGGCAGGAGGCTGGCCCACAATAGGACAGGGGGAAGGTGGCTGAGAAGCACATGGGAGCTACCCAGGTCCAACCAAGACTAGTCCACTGGCCGGGGGCCGAGCCGGCGTTCACCTTGGGCTGACGTCCACCTGGCTGGCTGGGCACCCGACGTGGACAAAGTGGGGGGTGGCTGAGGGGGCAGGAGGGAGAGACAGGCACTTGGGGCTAATGAGCTGGCCATCGTGAGCCAGGGAAGGAGGCCCTGCCACCAAGCAAGGGTAGGCCGGGTCCTGCATGATACGGGCTAGCCTTCCCAGGCTGCCTGCCTTGCCCAAAAGGCAGAGACATCCTGTGACCCTCGGGGGCTACACTGACACCAAGAGAAAAACGAAGGGGGATGGTTGCAGCTCCAAAGCTCTAAGACCTGATCTGATGGACGTTAGAGACCCAGGGAGGGCAGAGGCAAAGTTAAAGCCAAGGGAACACCTTGCGAGTGGTGGTGAGGGGACTGGGGGACTGTTTTTCCCATCTGCTGCCCCCAAGGGGAAGGAGGCGGCTCAGGGCACACTCTAGTGGCCTGAGAAGCGGGAGAGACAAGGGACGGAGAGGCACCAAGGATTTCACAAGGAAGGGCATGCCTCCCACCTGCACCCCTGCTCACCGCAGCCAACAGTCTGCCCAGGAGGAAGCAGCAGCCTCGGGATGTGAGGGGTCTAAGAGGCAAGAGAATGCCAGCAAACGTGTGGTGAGTTCGCAAGTTTAGGCCGGTGTCGCACTGGTCTCTCCCAAATGCCCAGGGCCGAAGGACTGCAGCTCGGGGTGGGGTGGGGAGCCCCCCCACCCCGATCACACACTAACCTGAATGCCCTCTGACCACTTCCCCTATCGATCCTATGCTGGTTTAGAGAAAACGAAAAACAAACCTAACGAATTTCCTTTCCCCTTCCCCAAGACCCTGTTCTAGTTGGTCGTCATGGGGGTAAAGCCTCTGGAGGAGCCCCAGGAGCTTTCAGGTGAGAGGGACGACATGGGGCCAGCCACCTGCCTCTGCGATGTTGGGGGTGGGGTGGAGTGAGGCAAACCCTCAGGTTCAGAAGCCCGAGACGAGGGAGCGGCATGTGCCTGCTGGAGAGCGTGGGATGACCGCACAGGCATTGGTGCTGAGGTCAACAGGGTCACACTGGGGAAGCTTGAGGGTGGCAGGCCACGCATGGGCACCTGACAGCTGCGGGGGTGGGGGAAGTGGCGATGGCAGCAGTGGTGGTGGTGGTGTCCACCCCGTCCTCCCCTCCCTGCTCTTGGTGGGTCCAATCTTGTCCCACCAGACATGTGTGCACTGAGGGAGGGCACCTCACAGCGAGTCCCTGGGCATGATGGAGGCGGTGCTTGACGTCGCTGCCAGCTGGGACACCACGGGCCCACATGCAGGGCACACGCTTCACTGCAGGGAGAGGAGTGGCAGCCAGTTCAGCACACCCTGTTCTTATGGCCAGGTCACAATCGGATCTCAGGGACTTAGGCAGTCTCTGTGACAACTGGGACACGTGGCGGGCACACGTGGGAAGGAGACGATCCAGGAGGCAGGAGGTGATGGACGCTGACCTCACAGGAGTGACAGATGCCCTCCGAAGCCCCAGCCGTGTCCCAGGCAGAGGTTTGGCACAACAGTTTTTTTTTTTCCTGGGGGTCTTCCCTTGGGAGGGGAACCACTAACAGAAAGGTAGGCTTGTAGAGCTGGGCTGGGCTGGAGCCCGGCTGCTGGGAAGTGGGGGGGATAGTCACCTTTGTCCCCCCAGCACTCCCAGTTATAAAGGGCAGAAGAGGGAATGGACTCCCACCACTGGAGTCCTGGAGTGGTCCAGGGCTTCCAGCAGCTGAAAGAGGACAAACCCGCAGTTTAGACTTTCTTTCTTGAGTCCTCCTGGCCAAACCCTGTCTTCCTCTTCCAGGTGGTTCTTCGCCTTTGACCATTTCTAAGGCCCGAGGGTGGGCCGGGAGCAGCCCACCAGAGTCCAGCAGTGCCCGTATCTGTGGTGGGGGGAGGTGGCCTACAGGCTGCCTTCTGTCTTTGTGTCCTTACCCTCCGGGGCCGGGACCCACCCCGGCTCTCCACGGAGAGGCATGCCTTCTCTGGGGAAGTGAGGTGTTCTAAGCAGAACGGAAGGATGGGTAAAAACAAAGACGACAGGGGGAAAATAAAGGAACAAAACAAGATAGCTCCCTAACCCCTTACAAAAATTAAAAATGACATTTATACATATGCTTTTGTCCATGTTGTTTCTCCACAGCATAGTTTCCTGCTCTTCTGAAGTCTTAATCGTTTAAATTAAAAAAGGAAAAAAAAAAAGACAAAAATAAAATAAGATTTTAAAAAATTAAGCAGAACTAAAAGGAGAGGGGAAAACCCAAATAAAAGCTTCACATTGCCGGAGATCCAGCTGTCGGGAGATCACCAACTGACCAAGCCACCATCTGCACCCTCGGCCGTCCTCTGTGGGAGACACGATGACATTGTCCCGAGGATCAACCTGGAAGACAGAAGACAGAAGGCCGGGGATGAGCGGACACTGGGCGGCAGGCTCAGGGCACCTCCCGGCTCCGGACATACCCTTTCGGTGCCAGCACCCAAACCCGAGAGGTTTCTAAATATTACAGGGACTGGATCTAGCTTTGCTACAAGCACCCTGTCGTCGATACACATTATCCTCCTTTGTCACAAAGGGAAACTGAGGCACGGGTTAATAAGGCACGTGACTAATATTGCACTGACGGAGCAGAAGACCCTGGCTGGGAACCCAGGCTTGCTGGCTACAGCTGCAATCCCACCAAAACTCCATCCCTGTGCTATCAGGACAAGAAGCCACAGGACCCTAGCCATCGGGTCCCTCCAGACCCTGGCCCAAGTCCCTCCTTGCCCTCTCCGACTAACTGCACTGTACCGAAGCTTCGTGCGCTTGCTCTTGGGTTTATCCTATTTCACAGACAACTAAGGCTCAGCCCCCCGAGAACCTGTCCCAGTTAGCCAAAGCTCTCAGGTCTTAAGAGGGGCCAGAATCCCACAGCTGGAACTGGGGTGACTCAGGGCTAGAGTTAAGAATGAGGTTCGGCCACTTGACCACAAGCAAATTTAAGCCTTCTTTAGTCTTGTCACCTGCACCAAATCACTTTATTACGAGGACATATGAACGAAGACATGTAACCTGAGACAGTGCCTGCCCCTATCATGATTAGCTATTGTTTGGGAACTGCCGTGGAACCAGGCCTCAGGGATAGGCCCTGCCACTAGCCTTTCAGGGACCCGTTTTAGTGGACGCCTAAAACACAAGAGCCTACAGCCAACAGCCTTGGGCCGGCACCTGCTGCCAGCCTGCTGTCCCAGTCCGAGTCGCCTGATCAGGGCTGAGCAGGGCCCCAGCCCAGGCAGCAGGGCTCCCTCTGCATGGCACAGGGACTCACCCTGGAGTTCCGGAGTGCCTGCTCTCACCCTGACAGATGACAGCATCACTTAAGTCTTTCATAGCGCGCTTGAAATCCCTCCATATCGGCCCCTGCCCCCCACACTGGCTTCATTCCTGTATAAGCTCCGTGCAGCATGAAGAGCCGGGCGCTCCCCACCCCACTGTCCCTCGTCCCCTGCGCAGTCTGACCACCCGGGCCCATTGCGCTCAGGTCCCCAGGAGATACCTGTCTGGTCCTCATGGGAGGCAGTGGGGTCTAGCAACCGGAGATAGCCTGTGTCCTTCTGTGGGAAATGGTCGGCTCTCCTTCGAGGTCTGATTGGAGTAAAGACTGTGAAGTACCCGGCCCCCAGCAGGAACTGACTGACTCCATGAACCCACCCTGTCCATGTCCCCAACCACGGGACCACCCAAATTGCTGCTAGCTGGGGGAGGGGGCATCGAAAGGATGCACACCCTGCCAGGGACATGGACCAGTGCCTTCCAGAGAGCAATCAGAGTCTCAGGTGTATGCAGACCTCTAGACCCTAAACTTCCACTTCCAGAAACCTAGACTGACAAACGGAGAGGACTTTACAAAGAAAGATGCTTGCTGAAGCTATGATCTATATTATGAGGCAACAACCCACAAACCCAAAAAGAAAAGATTTAAGCAGATGATCCATCTACTCTGTGGAGTATTAAAGAGGCAATGAGACGGCAGGTTACAGCAGAAGTACTTCCCGGGATCAAAGAGAAATAAGCAGGCTACAATGTCCTGCGGCATACAGTAGAAGCAGAACCATGTAGCAAACAAAAACCTCCACATCCAGGAAAATCTGTCAAGAAATACATCAAAATGTACTTGTTGTGGGTGTATTTTCTCCTTCGCCTGCTTAATACTGAGAACACATCACGTGTTCATGCTTTGCTTTATAGTGGGAAAATGGGCGTACTTGAAGGGACAAGAAAAGCTGGCAGCCCCAAAGAAAGGTCCCTGGAGAAGCAGTCCAAGAGACCAGACTCCGGCTCTTTTCTGGGCTCCTCCACACACAGTGGACAGCAGAGAATTTTCCACGGCTGTCAGGTGACATTAGACCATGCAATTTCCTCCTCCAGCGCAAGGTGAGGGAGGGGGCACCCAGTCTGCGTATGGGGAGTGGAGTGGGGGTGAATCATAAAGGTGCTGGAAAGTATCTGATCTACAAGAAAATATTGGCTTTCTCAGCCTCAATTTTTCCCTCTGTTGCTTCTGTTTCCCTGCCTGTGAAGTCCCCTCCTTCAACAACAAAAAAATCATTGGTGGTTCTTGTATCCTGGTTTCTGATTTGGTAAAATGAAGTCACCAGAAGCACATCCTGGGATGACCTAGAAGCCAACTGGCTTTGCTCCGCACGCCCATGACCTTCTCCCTGTGCTGTCAAGACAAAGCAGAACACCCAGCAGCCAGGGGGAGGGAGGGCTTGGGGGGAACCTCACCATCCAAGATGCTCCACGTCCTTGTGAAATAGGACAAGAAAAGCCCAGGAAACTGGAGGCTAATGTGTGATCTGCTAAGATTATCTCTGGGACAAGTTATGACCTTTCCAACACTGCTTTCCTCCCTCCCTTGGCAGGACCCAAGCTGAGGACACCCTGCTCAAGGGGATGCCCGTCAGCAGGAAGGTGGCCCATGGTAGCAGAAAAGCAGCAGCCAAGGAGGCCGAGAGATGCAGAAGCTGGAAGTCCCTTTTCACATAATTAACTAGGAGAACAGAGTGTGCCCGCAGAAGGTCAAAGCAACAGCACAGCTCCCCATGAGAGCTCTCGTGACACAAGTGTATAATGACCGCTGTACTCACTGGGTCCCTTGCCAGGAAGCCAGGCTGACATTTCCCACAGGCTCCTCCACCCTCCCCCTGCTTGGGCACCGGGTCCCGTCCTCCTGGGAGGATGCCTCAGGATGGCATACAGGTCTGGGTCTGCTTCCTTCTTGGGGGCAGGGACAAGGAACCTAAGAGTGCTCTCTTTCAGGGAGCGGACCCTGGCTTCGGGTTCCTCTCCTGTCTCCCATTACAGAAGGTCCACCTGGCCCAGGGAGCCAATGGCGGCAGGTGCACGGGGAGACAGCTTCGCAGCTATGAGCAGGAAGGGCTCAGAGCACCTGCTTCGGGGTTAGAGCAGCAGCAGACCCTCCCAGGCACGTGCTGGGGCAGTAAATGGAGTAAGGGCTCAGCCCAGGGGTAGGAGTGAGGGTCGGGGGAGGGGACACCCCCGACTTCATCCTAGCAGATGTCACACCCCGGCTCCCCGCCTGCCCAGTGACCAGAATGGACCAGGGCCTGACTTGTTCCTTCCAGTGGGACACGTACCTCTGACTGCAGAGCCCTGTGCAGAGGCCGAGCCATGCTGCTGGGCAGAAAGAAAAGTGGTGTGTGATTCACCTCCACACGATGTCATCAGCACGCCCCATCTTTCGCCTTCCTGATCATCTCATTTTGTTAGGTTGACTGCCCCATTTTAATAAGGGGACAGGCCCAGGGAGACGGAGCGGCTCGGCCCACACCACAACACCACTAAGCCACTGGCCAGGGGTTCCCCCACCGCAGGCATTTGCCACGGTCCTGAGCGGAGAGGGGCCAGGGATGCGGAAGTATTGGCAAATCCTTCCCCTTCTTTCAACTCCCAGACAAAGCTCCCTCAGCACGCCCGACCTTATTTCTCTGTAATTACTGTCCCAGCGATCACTCACCCAGCATCGAACGTTCCAAGGGCTTTGTAGGGAACAATCCATTAAGGCAAACTTCAGCTCTTCCAAGCTGCCTCCCACTCACTATGTCCCTGCACGGAGCCCGCGTGTTCCAGCTACGGCCTTGTCTCACCCCACAACCCGATGAGGTAGGCGCTGCCATCACCCAGTTCTGGAGCAGCTCAGAGAGAAGGGCTGCACGGCTAATGGGTGGGACAGAAAAGGGTCTGGGCCTGGGTCAGTCTCACCTCACACCTCCTGCTATTAGCATCTAACTGTCCCGAGAAATCCCCTCCTGGAGAGACAAGAGCTTAAATGGAGTTTAAAACCCATTTAATCCCTTCATTTATAAACACAGAAATGGGTTCATGGACGGCTTGGCTTAGGTACCTCCGCACAAGGCTGGTGGAGGCACCAGGCAGTGAGCAGCCTTCTAGCAAGTTCCTCTGCCAGCTAAGCAGCTGTCTGGTCCTATCGAGGAGATGGGGGAACCAAAGTGCTCCCCTGAATGCCACCAGCAGTTTGCAGAAGGGAAGTGGGGAGGGGGGGGGGAGTGAGGACAAAGGGGTGGGATGGATGGGCTCCCCCCCGTCTACCTCCTCCCTGACCCCCCAGCCCACAGAGATGGAAACCTGCGGGGGGAGAAGACTATCCTTCTCTAGAAGTGCGGCCCTCCTACTTCACTGTTGTTAAAATGTCATTTTTAGATGAAACTAAATGGGAATGGTTTGGGGTCCCCCGTCTCCTACTTTCAAATGGTACCATCCTTCCAACTGTGCAGGACCGGCAGCCACAGGACGTGAGAATCTCTGGGAGCCACGACTGCATTTCCACTGAGCGTCTTCACCCATGTGCTCTAGTGGGGCAACAGCACAGGCTGTGGTGGACGGTTCTGGGCTCAAATCCTGCCTCTGCCACTTACTGGCTGCTTATACCTGAGCCTCCCTTTCCTTGCTAGCAAAGTGGGGTGCTGCCCTACCCTTTTAGGGGCTGCTATGAGGATTTAAGTAAGCTGCCTACCCCAGCACCTGGTACACAGCACTACGATCCGTACGGTCTACCATGTTGTTCACTGTGTTAATGGTCACTTCGGTTCTCAGACCGAACTGTACAACTTATCTAGAGATGAGGCTTAATTCAGGAACTTTCTGTCCTTTATCTGTAGTATGGACATGCAGGAGGAAGGCAGTGGAGGTGGTAGTGGAGGGGAGGGGAGCTCTCCCAATATGCCCTCTGAAAGGGAGCCTTCCTCACACCATTGCTGTAATGCCTCAAGGACAGCCAGCTGGTGGCACAGGTATCCTCAGCACCTTTCAACCTGCTCAGACCTAAGGATGGATTTTTAAAGCCCATGAGCCTCGAG